AAAAAAACCATGTCGGCCACTTGCACAAGCCCTGTGCCAAAAACGATCGCATTCGGTGGAGTAGCGACGGGGAACAAAAATGCGAATGATGACGAAACAGCTACAGGAAGCATGAAAAATAGTGGATTGGTGTCAAGTGATCTGAAATTGAAGTGTATGATTAGCTGTTATAAGAAACTAAGTTGAGGCAAAAGCGTACATACCTCGCTAACTCTGCAACAATTGGTATAAAGATCGAGGCAATTACTGTATTCGAACAAATGTTGGTCAAGCAAACAGTTATACAGATACAGATCAACATTATTACGTTGACTGGAAACATCGACAGACGTTGCATGACTTCACCTATCTCAATCGACAGATGCGATTCCTAAAGTAAATCGTTGGTAAGATTACCCTTAGAGAATGTGAGAAAGGATGATAGTGTAAATGTGATGTGCAATGTAATAAATATTAAGGAAAATAAGGTCTTTTTCTAAGGTCTTCCAGGGTAATGGATGCGATTAGACCTCTTAAACCTACAAAAGATAAAATTAGTACTTCAAAACTGCATAAATAATGCCTTTCAGAGGCATCTAGTGCTCGAGGAGGAAAAATGAGGATGCTTGTAGCCAGTCAACCAGTCGTCAGCCCCACCTTTCTCGGTGAGCGGTTGATTGGCCCATTTAACTACCTCAACACTCTCCTTTTTGACTCATTGTTTTGTGCAAAAGATAAGTGAAAGGGTAAATCCAATGTCCCAAACCTTTACTCCAGCAGCTAAAGCAAAACCACCACCCAAGAGAAGCACAACGCTCCACGGGAATCGTTCTTGTATGGTTGGCCAGTCCAGAAGTGAATCACGCACGACATGGCGCCCGGATCTTCCTCTTCCTAGGCGAAAAAATTAGTGTGCTTATATAACCGCACACAACATTAGTACCTTTCTTAAAACACATGGGACGTTTATCCGGTATAATGAAGAGTAGTAAGACAACGAATATTGCGCTTGTCGCATCACTAATATACCTAAAATTACAAAACTATGGTTATTGGTGAGGCTGCGCAAGTCGCACGATGAGGAGATATGATGTTACCCTCGCTTGAAATAGGCCCCAAAACCAGGTATGACGTGTGGTTCTCTAAGCATCCACAGCGCCAGAAGAAGAGTGAAGCATGCCATGACTGCCATCTATAACTACTGCGCCGTAGGTGGGTAAATCAATAGCTAATTGGAAATAAACATGATCGAGCGAACACTTCAGATCGATTCTACAAGATGGTAGCTCACCTCTGCAAAAGTGGTGCTCGGAAGTTTTTCATATTTTTCTCTCAACTTCCGCGAAACAATAGCAGACCCTTGTGGAGCATCTCTTAGAAAAACAACGTTGAGGACGAACCTGGAATAGGTAAATTTTGCTTAGAAAGTGGAATATTGGGAGCAACAAAGGAGACTTCATGTTGTCTGTCAACTTTATGTCTTCTGTCACGGAAACCAAACTTGAAGGAGTCTTCAATTTGAGAAGGGATATTTTCATTAATAATAGTTGCTTCATAACGTAATATCCCAGGAAAGAAGACGAAATTTTGTGGATGCTTAGCAGTGGGATTATGTAGCCCGAATTTTTGTCTTAAAGGTGCTTTTAATTAAGAGAGCGGAAATGGAGGTCGCTCGGCACTTACCAGCAGAACACAAGACAAGCAAGAGCTTGCGGAAACGCGAATGTGATCCACGAAACAAAATTTATTCCCGTGTCAGCGTTAGGAAATAACCTTAACAGAAGATGTAACTATTAGTTATGAAGAAACTCGAAAAGCAGACTTCTCCAACTGTCCAAGTAGCACTAGGTTTGACGCAGTGCCAGTGATTGTCGCTGATCCTCCAATATTGGCGGCGAAACAAACAGATATCAGAAGCCCTTTTGCCATTAGATGTTCACGCGGCGTGAAAAGATTGCTCATATCTCTAAAAAGTTCTGATTATCTTAGACAACACTGCAATATGAAATCACTTCTGGTGAGCTTGGATGATGTTGTCTTGGGTATTGGACAAACGACGCATGTCGACACTTCTTCTGCGGTTTTCCATGGAATGCACTTCGGACAAAGCCAAAAGCTCGTGCATCCTACAAATGGCAAATTAGAAACATGTTTTTGTGTTCCTAATTGCAGCAACTGAGATGAACTCAGCTGTTTATTTGATAAAACTTGTGATTATGTTGAAAGCAGATCAGCAAACTTGTACATTCACTTCTTCATCATCAGATTTGAATCTTGATTATGGGTCAAAAGTTGCTGAGAATTTCATTTCCTTTTTTCCCATTTCCGCCATGAATAGCTGAAAGGGCGGGATCGGAGACTGTCAACCAATCAGCGCCACCGAAGCTGCGGTGTCTCCGCCTATCCGGGCTGCGGCAGTCATTTCTCAGGGGATTGCCGCCACAATTGCACACATTAGGCAGTCTTCATGCGAAAAAAAAAACGAATTTAAATATGTATATCGCCTTCTTACAACGTTTCTTGATTTTTACAAAAATTCTATCGTACTTCTACCGCGGTCCCTATGTGAGATAGTAATAGTAAAGTGAACACAATAATCGCAGTTAACACTTGATATCAGCCCAAAACAAAATTTTTCATGAAGATTCATGACGTTGGGTTCGTACAAAATGACTCCGTAAACTTATGTAAAATGTGAAAACCTGAAATAAATCATATTTTAATCTTCAGCGCCTCTGATAACCCCTCTGAGAAAATTTTTGGCGACATGTTCTCAAATCTCTCTAAAAAGACTACCATTTCGAACAATACGGCCCATGTGTGGGTCGTAAAGTTGACAAAGCCAAAAAGACTGTGGTCCGAAACAGCAGTAATAGAAGAATCGGCCTTGTCGTGAGCGTGTCAAAAGTCAAGTGTACCTGTGATTCGCCACAAGTTCAGTAATCACAGATTGCACTATCGGTACCATGAGAGCTGCTGTGGCCGTGTTTGATATCCACATGCTGTAAGTACACCGAATTCTCATCATTAACATCTTCATTAACCGACAAACCTCAAAAATCCCGTCACTCCCATGAAACCAGCCATTATCCTGAATCAGAAAGACAAGTGCAAAGGTCGTTTACGCAGAAAACGCTCACCATTTTGGACGTGATCCAACTACTCGTAGCACGAACAAAGCAATTCGGGTGTGTAGATCTGATTTTTCAACAGCTACAGCAACCATCAAACCTCCAATGAAGAGAAACGAGGTGTCCTAACAAAGGGACATTAGATCAATTCACATTAAGCGATTCTCACTCACTGGTAGGTAAGCTTGAGCAACTTCGTCACTTTTCATTATTTCAAAGAATGGGAAGGCCACCATAGGTATTAGAGCTGTGATGGCCAGCGGCAAAACCTGAAATGCCATTTATTCATTGGTTATAGCGGAGTCGTACGGTATACCTCAAACATCCAATACAAACCCATTATTGAAACCACGTAACCGCATTGCGCTTGTTTCTGAAACATTTCGAGCTAACACTTTCGCACCGCATAGAAAAGCATCAGAAAGTAAAATTTGTCTTGAGTGCCCCCACCTGATGTTCTGGGAAACAGAAGAGGAGTGGAAGGCTGAACAGAGGTGCACCGCATACTACTATTGATGATCTATAGTCTTCCAGAAATCGCAGTATACCTCTGAAAAGTTTCTTATGGGACTGAATCAGCACTACACAAGAAAGAAACTTATAAAAAAA